ATCTTGTTTTTGACCCAAAAAACAGAAAATTAAGCTTAAAACCTTTCTTCATTTTTCCAACATTTAGATAAATGTCAGATTTTGTGATATTTCATAAGTATAAGCCTGCACTATTGATAACAAAGAAAATTAATAGAGGAAGAACTGTATTGGATCCTCAGTGCTCTTAGGCAAGTCTCTGTTATATTTATTCTTCAACTTATTAAAACTTTTTCAAACCTTGCCTTTTGCCCCAAATCTCTTAACCCTTCCCTTCTACCTCACTTACATAGAGGATCTCTCTTCCTACTGCACAGAGTAAATTGAAACTCTCAGACTAGTGATCACTCACCTTTTCCCCATAAGATCTTTTCCCCATACTTACTTCTGCACCTTTTCTCCCTTTATAGTCCAGAGACAACTTGTCATTAATGATATCCCTGTTCACTGAGAGGTGACTCCCCTTCTACTTTCTCAGGAAATTGACCCTAGATGTATGCATTTATTTGAAAAAAAAAAAGGCATTTTAACCCCCAGCACACTTTAACTACAGCCTTGTGTCTCTCCTGTTCTTCAGAGCCAGTGTGTTGTATATTACTTCACCTCCCACTCAGTCTTTAGTCCACTCTAATAGTGGTCTGGCCCTCTGTAAACATCAAAACTTTTCACAAATAGTTATCAAAGGCCTCCATGCTGCCAGACCCAATCAATGCTCAGAGTCCATCTTATTTGACTTCTTTTTAACATTACACAATGCTTTGCTTTTTCTATTGGCAGAAAAAAATGATTGCAAATCCTTAGCATTTGCTCTGAAACTTCTCAGAACCTTGGAGAAACTGTCTGACAAATCAAACTTGACAAAGTTCCTGAGCAGCTATAAAGTTCTCAGATCAGACAAAAATCCACAGTATAGCTTTTCAAATCTTAACCAACATCTTAATAATAATCTTCAGTCTCCTTTAGCTACTACTTTATTCTGTCATCCTTGAGTGAACAACTTTTACCGCCTCACATCCTGGGTGGGGCCAGCTTTGGGAGTGGAAAACAGAAAGAACTCAAGGGCCCTCAGTGTGACACAGAAGGGAGCTGAGAACCCAGGACAGCTTGAGAGATAGGAACTGAAGCCTTACTCTTTGATCCCGTGGGAAAAAAAAAAAACCCAAAAAACCCAAAATCTATGAAGGGATTTGCTATGAAATACAGCACATGATTATCAGAGAACACTGTTTTTAATAGTGAAGATCAGAAAAAAGAATGCTTTTGTGTCAAAATAATAAACATTATATTTCTGGATGTAATCAAAGTCCCTTCTGCAGCTTTTAAGAAAATGAATGTAATATTTGAACATGGTGTAATAGAAATGCATATGGGAAAATCTTAGTTTATTTTTACAATAAACTAAAATAGGCACTTAATACGGCAGTTTAAATGAATAACTTGTTATTGATTATATGGTCCAAAATTAAAAATAGTAATTTTAAACTTTATTTTATATTTTTAAAATAAATATATAGTTTACATTGATGATTTTTCAAATCAAGGGATAATAATGCATGTTTTCAAAATATTATATTTTAATTGCAATGAAAAAGAGAATTTCTTTCAGGCACACACACACACAAATAAACTGGGACCCTCAATTCACTAGTACTTTTCCATTAATTAGTTTCCAGTGCAGTCTGAAAGGAGAAAATTTTAAGTTCTAGGTACTTTGAATTTGTTAATATAAAAATTAATTTAAAATGTAAATACAGACATGTAAATATTTATAAAATAGATAAGTAGATTAGATTGATAAATAATTGGTTAATTGATTCCACCAGGGCTTTGATCCCATCTCTTTCCTACTTTCTCTTTCATATATGTTCAACCCCCTAGTGAAATGGATTCTCCCCATTTGTGTGTAAAAATTACTCAAGAGTCTCCATTTAAAACCAATATACCAGACAAAACTCTTTCAATCCAATATAGTTTGTCCATTGCCTTCTGTCCAGCTTCACATCAAATTTCTAAAAACTGGTTTCTGTTTTCACAATCTCACTCCTCAATCTGCTCCATTCTGGCTTCTACCCCTATAACACCAATAAAATAGTTCTCAGTAGGCTCGTTATTATTATCCCCATAACACTAACTAAATGCAATAGACATTTGAATACTTCATCTTACTTGATTGTGGAATTCAAGTGTACTAACCACTGGCATTCTCTGTCAACACTCTCTTCCTTGCCATTTATGGCATAATTCTTTTTTCTACCACCACTCTAGCTGCTCCTTAGTCTCTGGCTAGCTGAGCTTCTTCCCAATCCACGTCATTAAGTGTAGGAGTTCTTCAAGGTTTGGCCCTAGTCTTCCTTTCTTCCAATTCTCTACTCTAGCTGAGTAATCCTACCCAAATCCATGGTTTCAATTACAAAACATTATAGCCCTAGGCAAGACCTCTGAGTTCAACTGCTTATTTAAATCTTGCCTTTGATATAACACAGGCATATCAAACATGACATGTTCACAAATGAAATCATTTTTCTCTCGAAATTTGGTCTGTTTCTAGAATTTTCTCTTAACTGAGCATCTCCAAATCAGTTATGCAAATCAGAAACCTTAGAGGCCTCTCTTCCTTTATATTGAATTCAATACCAGATTCATTATAATTAAAATACCTCAAGATTATACTTTTATATTTACCTCCATCACCTTCTTGGGCCAAACTGTAACATTTCTTGCCTGGGTTACTGAAATAACCTGGTTTGGTCTTCTCTCTATTCCGTGGTTTTCAAATTACTGCTCAGGAGGCAAATCTAGACTGCTGCCTGTGTTTGTATGGTCTGTGAGCTAAGAATGTCTTTTATAGTTTTAAATAGTTAAAAAATTACAAGAAAGAATAATATTTTGTCAACATGAAATTTATATGGAATTCAAATTTCAGTGTCTATAAAGTGCTAAAAGAACACAAACACCCCGACTTGTTTACGTAGTATCTGTGGCTGCCTTCCTGCTATGCCAGCAGAGTTGCATAGAGGCAATAAAGACCATACACAGTGTCCACATCACTTCACATACCATAAAGTGCAGTTATCCAGTCACAGCAGTGTTCTGAGTATCATGTTATTTTTTATAACTATTCCTACCTACCCACTATGGCTCAACAAAAGAGAAACATGGACTTTGAATGCTGTACTTTTAAGGCATAATGGAATATAGATTAGTTATTGAATTATGTGGCAAAGCATTGCATTTATTATACAAAGGCAGTATAGCAGTGATAAAAGAATATGATATACATCAGAAAAATAAAACTCAGTACTCATCACAATATTCCTATTTGACAAGAAAACAATGGACAGAAAAATAAAAAATGTAAAAAAGAACTCCTATGAATGACAGCTTTTATTCACAAAATGAATCAAAATGAGGCTGCAACCAAAATAAGATTCTGAGTGGCTCATTTGTTAGCCAAGCAAGAATAAGCATTCACTGATATTATTTAACCCCTCCACTCAGTAAAAGAAAATTCTATCCTTCTGAAAGAAAATCCATTCTTCTCATTAATAGACCAGTATTACTATATTATAACCAATTGTTGCTATCATTATATTTTTAAAATTTTATCATTAAAAATCTATAGAAATTTGTTTCCTCTATTGTTATATAAGTGCTACATAAATAACATCTTTTATTTTTGCCTTTGGCCATCAAAATATCAAAAAATATTTACTTTCTGGAACTTATAACATCTATTGACCACTCTTCTACCTTTGTCCACTTAAACTCTTTTTTCTACACTCAACCAGCTGGATTTATTTAAAACATCTATGTGCTTAAAATATTTCAAAGGAGTCCCACTACCCTTAATACAAAGACCAACATTCTTAAAATATGCATATTACCTTTCAATAATTGTTTTTTTATCATATTACTTAGCGCTCTCTTTTCCAATCACACTAGACTTTTAATTCTTCTTACTCACCATGCTCTATCCTGTCTCAAGGCATTTATACATACATTTCCTTCTGCATGAAACACTGTTGCTGCTATTCTTGCTTCTTTACTCATATCAGAGTTTGGACCCAAGTAAATTATCACTTCCTTAGAGAAAGCTTTGCTTATGTCCTTGACTTGGCCAACCTCACACACAAAGACACACATGTTATTTGCTTTCATAATATGAAAATACTCTTTCAACCTCAAGGGTATTAAAAATAAAGTCCTTTTGTGTTATTTTCACAAGCAAAGGTTTAAATTTATGTATTAAGTTGCCAAAGCCTTTTATTTTTCCTTTTTTTTAGTAGTCTTTTGAAGAATCTCTATTGCTATTTTTAGTGGTTTTTTTTCTGAAATCTTAATTGTGGAGTAAGAACTTATAAATGGTAAACCTTTTTTCAAACAATTTCATTGAAAAGTTATGCTTTATTTTCTTTCTTTTTAAATGTTTTCTTATACACAGAATATCTGTACATATTTTTATGTGTTTATATAAGCACATACTGTATACATAATAAAAATCACTGAACATCCTCAACTACAGAAATGTCTAGTTTCTTTCATTAAAACTAGCTATTGAAAATAAATGATAGGAAAATGCTGTTATATACCTGTGCCTGAAGAAAATTGGAGATCAGCAGTACAGTCTGGAGGTTCCGCAACATCGATGATATTAATGGTCAAAACATGTCTCAAGAGCCCTCCAGTATCAACTATCAGTAGAAATCTTCTGGGATCAGTTTCATAATTGAAAATTTTGGTAGATGTGATTACACCAGAATCTACTTAAGAAATAAAATGTTGGGAGTAGGATAAAAGCTAAAATTACTTCTTGGAGGAAATAATTTCTGAACCCATGCTGAAAGATGAAAAGAGGTTGGTCAGATGATGAGGAATAAAGGAGGAAAAAGACATCTATGTGCAAAGCCCCAAAGGCAGAAATTAGTTTTTCATGAAAAGATGTGTATTTTTACTAAAATACACAACATATAATGGAGAGTGATATCGTTTGAGTTTGGGAAGATAAACAAAAGCTGCATCTTAAAGAAATTTGTGTGTCAGTTTAAGCAGTTTGGATTTTGCCTTGAGGAAAATAGGAATTAGAATTATAAATAGTATGACATTAATAGATGATAGATAGAGAGATGTTAGATATGGAAGAATTTGAGTGATACGATCCTATTTGTACTTTAATAAAATTACCAAGTCACTGAGGAGAAAATTGTGGAAGTCTGGAGGCAAGAAGACAAATAGGAGGTAGGTGCAAAAATCCAGAGGAAAGGTAATGGGGAAGTAACTTGAGAAAGTGATAATGGACATGAGGTAAGTATACTGAGGATTTAGAATCCATACGATTTGGTGATTGATCAGAAGTGGAAGGTGTGACAGAAGGAGTCAGTAATTCATGCCTCATATAATGGTGTTTTAGATGTCCTGCACAATAGTAAATTATGATTAGGGAGTTGAGGATTATATGCCCTCATGTTTGGCTACTTCTGTCCCCAAGAAGGTTGCTTTATATAGCTCATACAAAGGTTAAAGTAGAAACAGATTTAGGGAGAAGAGGGCGGGTCCATATTTGAATTTAACAAAAAAGATGATTGCTATGTATGATGACATGTCTTGGAGGAGTGGTCTGTCAATATTCATACTGAACTTTATTCAAGAATAAATGGAAGGTATAGAAGTGGAAAAAGTGGTATGGATAATTCTTTAAAGATATTTGGCCAGTTAGAGGAAAAGTGAGACATTCTATAAAAAGTCAAAAGGAAAACAATAAAATGAGGGGGATATCAGTCAAGAGTGGATTTTATTAAGATAGGAAAGGCTCAAAAGACTGTTTAAAACTTAATAGAAGTGAACCAGCAGAGAAGAAGAAAAAATATAGGAAAAAAGGTGCAAGCAATGCAACAAGATCTCTGAAGAGGGAGAAAAAAATTGGAACTCAGAACAGAGTGGAAGGCAATGGAAGCAGACGAGAGAAAGCATACATCTTTGTGACAAGAGAGTAGAGAAAGGGATAGATTGCAAAGAGCAACTCTCTATGGGTAATAACAGAAAGAAATTCCCTCCTGATTGTTCATATTTTTCCTCAAATATGTGAGTTGAATTATCTGACAAAAAAAAAGATTTTAGGTGAGGAGGAGATTTGAGATAAGACTGGAGAAAATTTAAAATAGACAAGTTGGTAAATAAGAGACCTGACTGGAGAAATTTTAGACTACTAAGAAGTATATTGTGCCACATAAAATTTAGAGTTAATATACTGGTTCATGTGATTTTATCTAACAATACTCATCATTCCAGAGACAGTAGGACATACCAACTGCTGGATTTACCTCATGTTGGAGTATTCCTCGGTAAAAATTATAGGAAACCAACGAGGCAAGTTATCTGAGGGTGTTGTCAAGGAGAGGTTGGAGGATCCTAGTGCTAGATAGGGAAGAAAAGAGAAGAGGTGAGTGACAGAGAGAAAATAAATCAATGGATTTGTGGCCTCCATGATGTAGACAAAACAGTACAGAAGGGATAACGGAATAAAAGAATCCAAAAAAGCATAAGAATGAGACGTGAGAGGTAAGAGTGAAGAAGCAGAATTGTTCTGGGTGCTGATGAAGGTCTGACTGTGACCCTGGAGGTGTGTGGATGGAAGTAGATTTTAAAGTCACAGGGATTTAGGTACAGAGATTTGTACTAGACAAGGTGGAGGGACTGAGCGTTTGGGTGCCAGATGGGCCAGAATGTGAATATTGAACCCAAGAGTTGGTGGCAGGACTTGAGATAGAGAGAAATACTGTGAATGATACATTCAAGTCTCCAGGGTTTGAGGGGGAGTGATTAGTATATTTGGTTAGGAGCCAAATACCTTGTACTCCAAATAAGCAAGGGAGTTTCCAAAGAGGATTGGAGTAATGGTCAGGAATCAGCCTGGGGAGTGAGAAGAATGCTGACTTCCCACTTCCTGACCCAGAGATATGAGATGTGTGGGTGAATGAGTAACATGAGCTTGAGGCATGCTGCAGTCATGCCATAGAATGAGAAATTTCAGTTAAAGCTAGAGTAGAGAAATGTCACAAAGGAGGTTGAGAAAGTAAGAGATGTATGTTTGCATGTGTGCATTTATTTATTTACTTGCCGCATAATGCGTATTTCACAGACCGTAACTGAAAGGTATGCAAATGGAAGGAAAGTGTGAGTTTTAGGTTAAGGGAGAGGAAGCTTGGAGCAGTTTGAGGATGAGAATAGAGAAGAGGTTAAATACACATTTTCAGGCGTTTTCATCTTAGGCAATTACCATGGATAACAAGGATATGAGAAACAGGGAATTTAAGTGGGTACACATTCTCCATATAATTGGATTCAGAATTCTTCCATATTATTAAGGAAGCCATGTGCACAGAGGACGGGAACTCTTCTGGGATTCGGGCCAAGGTCTCTGATACCACTCCCAGGAAAGGTCAAACAAAAAACCCCTTAGGTCCAAATGGCAGATTATCGGGGAGTATGATGAGATGGGCATTATTGCACTCTGACTACGAGGATCAGAAACTCTTCCACCAAAGAAGGGCTTGCAGTGTCTTGACCCTCATTAGGAGGAAACAGAAGGTCTAGGGTTGTTTAGATTATTCCAAATTTGAATTTTGGTACTGAGAAGTAGTACGTGAGTCAACAGAACTTAGAATCCACTTTTGTGGAAAGGGGTAGGAATAGGGCTTGTTTTCAGAGTTCAGGACTGTGCTGAGCCACAAGCCAAGCATTAAGGTGAAGTGACACTGGGCTGAGAATGAGACAAATTAATGTACAACATTTTTAATTTTTTCAGGAAACATTTGTGGTACCTTTGGGATATGTGTCATGGGGGGCAGTATGGTAATGGGAAACTACTTTAGAAATAAGTATTTATGTAACTTTGTGCAGCAGGTTTTAATCAAGAAATCCAATATAACATTTACGTTTAATTAAATAATTTTCTTTAAAGTCTGAATCTTAAAAGAAGGAAGTATGAAATAAATAAAAATATGAATGCTAAAATTCATTTACTTGCATCGATGTTAAAATCCTTTGTTTTATTCAGGAAGTGGTAGACATTTGCTTTGCCGGCTACATCCTTATCATAAGCTCGACTTAGTTGTGTCCCCGGAAGTGTGTTTTCAGGCAAATTCACTGGGTTAATTAACATCTGAATATCTGCTGCAATGTGTGAAAACACTGAAGAATAACAGAGATTTTTAAGTGAAACCCAGTTATAGAACTGAACTTTATCAATAATAATCATACATATTTGTCCCTATAAAGGGAAGTGAAATTGTGATTTTGAAGTTTCACTAAAACCGAGTAAGCATTTTTTAACTCATATTTAGTATAAAACAAACTTGAAGAATAAAACTGAGATACTAGCATCACTACATTTTTATTTCATTCTGTCTTTAACAACAGCTATGTAGAATGGTTATTCAGTTAAAAGCTAGTTTAATTTCCTACTGTAGTTTATTAGCCAAGCCATTTTGCATGTTTGTATAACCTATATTTTTCTTGTAAAAATTTGTTGTAATTTAATTTAAAATGCTAGTTGAAAAAACTCAGTAAAACATCTTTTCTACACTTATTATTATTTTTCTTTTTAATAGAAAGAAAAGAGGCTATGTTTTGGTTACATTGTGACTCATGGTAAATTGTGTTATGCTGCTCTTCTAGAGCAAAAAGCAGATAGGCATGTCCTCTCACTCACTCCCAGAGTGTGTAGTATGACTAAAGGTAGTATAAATAATTTTAAAAGCCCAATATTAAAAAATAGTCATAAATTAATAAGTAATTTTCATGTTTAGTTATATAATAAATAGTTTAATACAGCAAATAGCTCTAAGAGGGCCTTAAAGGAAAAAAAAATACCAAAAATAGAGTCCTGTTTGAAATAATCCAAGGTTCATGCTGACTTTTTGTTCATTTAACCTTGAGCATACACACACACACACACACACACACACAGGAGAGACTGAAAGTGAGAATGTGAGTAAAAGAGAATAATATAAAATTAATTAAAAGGATCTCAGCAGGAGTTCAAATTCTTTAACTAAAACTGAAAGTTAAGTTTCTTAAAAGGTAAGGAAACATCAAAAGTTAAACAAACCTGTGCATATTAATAAAATCTTGAAGAAGTTCATGTCTAGTACAGCTTCCCAATGCCATTAGCAATGTGTCCTAACAAATGCATGGTGTTGGCTATTTATACAAATTCGTTCTTTACTCAAATTAAGCCAACAGGTCAATAAATTATTGCTCAACATTGAAACCACTCATTTTATCTGTTTAATTGAGTGATTATGCACATAGGTCATATTTCACCTTCCGTGTCTGTTTGCCATCTATCTCTGGTGAGAAGATTATCAGCTAAGCCAGGATAATTATATAACATCAATTTAAATTGTAAATATTTAGAGTTAGTGTGGGGTCTCCTATGGAGGGTTTTTGGCAACCAGTCCAGGTGATTTGTTCTTTAATCCTTGTTTACCTAATAGAAAGTACTCTATAAGAGGATAAAGAGTTATTTTTAATATGACTCCATATATATGTGCAAACCCTAAAACAATTCAGATAACACATAATTTTGAGGGGCACTAGCTATGTACTCACTACTCTGCTGATGCATGAGGAGTTCCAGAGCTGAGCTTAGGTAGTCTGTAACCTAACAGTCATAAATTGACGGATAAAAACAGCTACACTGTTACAGAATGAATAATATGTTTCAATAAAATAATATGAAAGTTCAAAAGAGAGAAGAAACACTTTCAAAAAGAAGAAAAAAGAAAAACCTTTAAGGAGGAGACGGCATCTATAAAATGAGGCATTAGAGCACCAAAGTGTTTTTATAACATCTGATGAGTAAAATGAGTGAGTGATTCCTACAATATGTACATTTATATATTTATAAATTATTCATATGTAACACATCGTAATATTTTATGTGCTCATAAAATATAAACAAAAATTAGAATTTAAAACAATTACATAAGGATGAAAAAATATTTTATCACATTATGTTATGCATATTGCCTTATAACTATCATAAAATTATTATAATTCAAAATGATGGAAATATAGTACAGTAAATGTTCTGTCTCTTTAAAATATTACAAATGATGTTATATAGTGTTTATTGTTCTATTATTATGGGATTTAATATTTCATAATGAGATGAAGAATAAACTAAATAAAAATCAAACTATTGCTTTAAAAACTCATGTATGTATTAATTATATAAGAAGTATTTTACATTTTAATCTCAACATAATTATGTTTCTTGAAATACATATATTTATTATATTATTTAATAATACTTAGAGTGAGAATAAATGAATATGTTTCATTGCTATTGATAGTCCAGTTTTTACATTGTGTGATACAATAGGTTCATAGCCAGAGTCAAAGTTTAGTTTACGTCCACACTTGGTGGCTATTAAAGATGGAAAAAGATTCCAAAGATCCCTCATAAATATGTATAGAACTAAACAGAGGAAGTGTATCATTGTATACTTAATAAATCATGAACTCATCTTTCAGTTTTATCTACCAATAAATATTGACAGCTACAAAATGTCCTTAATCCTTGATGTCAATTAGATTTTATTTCAAACTAATTGGGAGGTTTGCATTTTACATTAGTTTAAAATTTGCTGAGACTTTTCATGTGGAAAACTTTTAAACTGATTAAAAAATTCTGTTCTCCAGTACAAGTGGGCTGACATAAGAGTTTTTGTAGGCGACACATTTGTGATTGTTTGAATCATAGAATGATGATGGAACCATTTCCAAATTTATCTTTCCATGGCGTGAGTTTTTTCAGAAAACAGTTGCTTTCTTATTCATCACTAAATGCTGCATTTATATTAAAGGGACTGCTAGAGCACTATTTTTAATATTATTATCTTCCATGAAGCACTTGCTTATTACAGAAATGGTAAACACATTTGGAACACTTGTCCTTTTGTAAGGGAAAATAGGTTAGCTCATCCTTAAATTTGAAAATTCTTTAAACACTGTGCCATTTTATAACAAGTACACATGTATAGTAAAAAGTATTTTCATTATTATTCCCTAGCTCGTTACAACACACTATGATTCTTAAATATCTGTTCCCTCATCTCAACCCAAAGTAGCCACTTTGATGACTGCTTTCCACTTGTGGCTTTAACCTTCTCCATCTTTGCTGCAATAACTTACTTATGAATAATGCAAGTGAATGTATTTCACATATGATTTTATTTCTGTAAATTATTCTTGAATCCTTTGTTTATTTTTAATATAAAACAGCCATTTTATCAGAGGTTATTCTTAGATTTTTCCCTCAAATTTGTATTTTCCTTAGCCATATTTTCTGTAAGAGCACTGTTTCTTGAGTGAACTTCTCCTTTAGTGATTCAAAAAAAGTGATTTTTCAAATTACTTGTTATTAAAATAGACTCTAGTAAATAACATAACCTAAGCCATGTTTAAAACCTATGCATGCATTCAACTACAGTGCAGGCCTCTCACACTAAACGGTTAGTTCTAATCATTGTTTCTCTAAATCTTTAACATTTCTCTACATCTTTCAAAAATTTTGATAACAAATTAATGCATGTAACATTGTCTATTATTTCACCTGAGCTCTTTTAGACATTTTTTACTGTCTGAAAACAACTATTACCTCAATCAAATGGGGACTTTTGACTGTTGCTATTATATACTAATTGCTGAATTATGAAATTCAGGTAATATTTTGTCAGATTCCAAATGCACCCCTAATTTGCAATATTGCTAAAAATATTGCATAATTTTGAGGTCATGCTCCAGGTACAAAATTTTAGCATTTGCTAACTGTGATGTCCTCAAGCCACCATGAGCTAATATCTCCAAGAGAATTATGTATTTCAGTTGAAATTCATTAATAATAGTACATGTAAATCCATACTGCAACTATTTCTTCTGAATAAATTGAGTGTTTTTTGGCTGATTCTTGGTAGATCCCTTTTTAGTTCCTAATACTAGTCAATATCATTTCCCCTCTCCCCATTGTTTACTTCATTCTTGTTTCAATGAATTTAAACTTCTTTTTTATTTAGTGAAGAAAGATTTCGTTTAAACATAAGTCCACTTCAACCAAATTTACATGAAGTCAAATAATGACAACACACTGTACTTTAACAAACATGGGAGTGGGAGAAAGACTGTCTGTACAATAGGTCCCTTCTGGCCTCCATATAGTATGTGACTATTTGACATGAGGACCCATTAAGAGCATCACTGCCTGTATGGATATTAAGGCTTAGTTACTTTTTTTGTTTTAAATATTTTTTAAAGTGTAAATAGAAGTTCTGGTATACCCTTCTAGTACTATGGTAGATTTTTTTCCACATGTGTGAGAATCACACTTTGAAGAATGTTACCTTAATTTATTAATTTATATGAAATATTCTACCAGTAAATATTTGCTCATTTATTCATCAACCTTCACATTCATGTAATAAAGGAAAGACGGAAAGGGGAATGAGACATCGGTGGAGAGAACAGTATGAACAAAAGTAAGATAGTGGAAAAATCCTTTTGTTTAATTAAGTACACAGCAGTTTCTCATTATTCACTTTTGAGAAAGACTGTTGCACAACTACAAATACATTTTTAGAAAGATTCACTTGGGGACCCTAAGGGTTGACTATCAAAGTGGAAGGTAGAATGTTTAAAAAAAATTGTATCTTTCTATGTGAGAGGTAATGAGTACACAAAAGATGTTGTCAGGAATATAGAAAGATACAGTATTTCATAGTTATGGAGCATATGTGGTATGTGGAATATACACACATATCATAAACAATCATTATATGCATACATATATATGACAAGAACAAGGTAATGCTTCCTTTGTACAATGTTGCAGGACTATATAAATACCCTTTGCAAGTTAAAATCATGCAAATTAATTTTAATAATCAGTCAGAAAAATTATAATTGTTCCATTACTTCAAAAATGTTTGTCATTTTATTAATAACTGTTACTATAGGTTGGAAATTGATATAAAATTAAAAGTAATAAACAGTATTTATTTGATACACTATAATTTAAATGAGAATTAAAATGTTTCATTTCTTTGAAAAAAAAATCAAGAGTAGTTTGAATAGTGCCTCCCTTCATCCCATTTTATAATTTATGGCAGAGAACCAGGATCTTTTCTGTCTCTCGACAAATTGTCCTATTCCTTTCTACATTGAATCAGCATCCCATATTTTATCCTTTGCCCTTTCAGTAATGTGACATGTCTTTGATATTTACTTTTATGTGAAGTTTTCCGACAATGCCACTACCTCTGGGACATCATCCTTTTTGTCACAACCATTCGCTTCATTTATGTTGACAAATCCCCTCTGGCTGCATATCTAGAGTTTCTCAAACTGGCAATGTTAATAGTTCCCACAATCAGCTATATCTTCTATTAATTTATGTTCAGCCAGAATCCTGCAGTGTTATTTGCACAGTGTGGTAAATATTTCTGCCATTCTGCATGCATGTTACTCACTATTCTTTCCTGGATGCTCTCATGATTTCAAATGTATGATTTATGTCATGTTTCATCCAAAGACCAGTCAAGCAAATTGCATGATCATCAGTGGTTGTGTCAATAGACTATCTGAAAACCAATCTAAGGTTATAGGCTTTACAAGCTGAAATACTTGATCTAGTGACTGGAAGAATGAAATTACATTTGGTGGTAAAAAAATTTTTCAGATTTTCATTCATGCTCTTAAGAGAATCAGAATTGCATGGAGCATTATCCAGGTCAGAAGTGCTTTAAAAGGTAAATTATTTTGTCAACAGTGACTGTCCACTACTGAGAACAGACAAAGAGTTATGTGACTTAACCAGTTATAGGGCTAGAAAAATACTTTGAATCACATGTTCCTTTAACTGTAGCATCAAAGTCTACCAAGGGGTGTTTTCAATAATTTAATTAAAAATCAATTGCCCACAGACCTATTAATCATGTAATGAAATCTACACACTGCTATATAGCTCTGGCAGTGGAATCAAACTTGGCTTAGATCATCCAGATCAAGTTCTAGGAAATGTTTTCATTTCAAGGCTGCCGTGGGATTCCAGGTACATAAAGTAGAAATGACAGTTGGTTAGACT